ATGTTTAGTGATATGTTGTGGGGAGTTTCTCTTCTGATCCTGTCTATTTGGTGTTCTATGTGCTTCCTGTATTTGTATGTGGATGTCTTTCCTTAATTTCAGGAAATTCTCTTCTACCATCCTGTTTAAGATCTGGTCAACACCATTAACCTGAAATTCTTCTCCTTCCTCTATGCCTGTGATATGTATATTTGGTTTTTTCATGGTGTCTCACATCTCTTGCATATTCCATTCCTGTGTTTTTTTAAATTTGTTGCAATCTTTGCTTGAGTGGTCCAATTCTTCAACTTTATCCTCCAGTGCTGATATTCTGTTTTCCATTTCATTAATTCTAGTGGTGAGGCTTTCTCCTGTTGTTTCAAGTTGGCTTATTGAGTTTTTCACTTCCTTCTTCATTTCTGCCTGAGTTTTCTTCAATGTTTCTATCTCTTTTGTGAATTCATTCAGAAGTTTATCCCTATCTGTTTTTAGTTCTTTGATTTGTTTGTTCATGTGTTCTTTAAATTCGTTGAATTCCTTGATCATATTTATGATTGTTCTTTTAAATTCAGTGTCCTGGGTTATCTCTGGGCGTTCTCCTTGTAGAACTCTTCTACAGGATTGGTGGCGTTTGGTGGGGACAAAGTGTTTTAGATTTCCATTTTATCATTCTTTCATTGTGATTTTGGCATGTGATTTTTTTTTTGTTGTTGTTTGTGATTCTGATATGAGAATTAAGGTGAAGTATGCTTCTCTTTGTATTATTGGTATGCTTTGGTCCTTTTCTTATTGGTTATGTAAAGCTGGTTGGTCCAGGTTTCAGGTTCTCTGAGATTTTATTTTGGAGGGAACTGATGGCTTCAGATCAGCTACTCAGGAGTACCCACAGAAGCCCAAGTCAGGTTCCAGTCAGGTACACTCAGGCTTCCTTCTAAAGTTTAGATCCCTACCAGCAGGAACTCAGAGAAAAATTTGGGAACATTCCCTAAGTGGGGGCATTTTGGGACTCTCAGTTGATCTGCTGAGTTCTCAGCCCCTATGACAGAGGGAGGCCAGAACAGGCACTCTCTGGTGGTCTGCTGAGATCACAGTACACAAATGGAGGTCTGAACCTGCCCTCTCAGGCTGTCTGCTAAGATCTCAGCCTTATCCTACTAAAGCCAGGTCGGCCCTGGGGACTTGGGAGGAGCCTCACGCAATCCCGTTTTAGGGGATTGGGTATGGCATAATTAGGGGAAACTCACCACCACAAGGAGGCAGGATCTGGGTGCTCTCAGGCAGTCCCGAGTTCTCAGTCCCTATTCCAGAGGGAGGCTACAACAGACACTCTCTGGTGGTCTGCTGAGATCACAGCAGCTACACAGATGGAAGTCAGAACCCACCCTCTCAAACTGCCTGCTAAGATCTCCTTTATTTATTATTCTTATTGTATCATGTACATGCAGTGTATTGCCTGCATGTACGTAAGTGCACCTGTGTTGTGCAATGCCTTCAGAGGTCAGAAGAGGGTGCTGTTTCCTAGTACTCGAGTTATGGATGATTGTTAGCTGTGATGTGTGTGCTGGGAATCAAACTCAGGTCCTCTGCAGAAGCAACCAGTACTCTTAACTGCTGAGCCATCTCACCAGCCCCAGAATTCACATTTTAAAAGAACACTTATAGAAAAGACATGTAAAAACACTAGATTGTCTGATTAGGTGGGAAAGGATGAAGATATGAGGGCTCAGGTACAAAAGGAAGTCAGCATAAAAGGAGGCAGAAGAAAACACACTTTAGTGGAGCAAAAGGGCCCAAAGGTGGAGTGGACAAGGGTTGGCCAGAAGCTGTTGAGAAAAATAGTGGCTTGGGCTGCAAAGTGTGGAATGGAGGGGTAGCTGGACATTCGGGAGACTGAGGAAGGGGAATTTCAGGTTGGAGGAGGGGGAAGGATGTTAAGGATGGCATACACTTTGCTGACTGGATGACTGAGCCAAAGGAGCTCCCACACTGGGGAGTGAATCCAGGAGTGGTAAGCTTGAGGGACTAGTGCAATATGGCAATGTAGATATCCATCTGGTGGTTTCATGCCTGGAATATTTTTGTCTTCCTAAATTCATATGTTGAGATCCTAACCCACAATATGTTGATACTAAGAGGTAGGGCCTTTAAGAGGTGATGAATGAATGAATGAATGGGATTAATGCCTTTATAAAAGAGATTCCAGAGAGCACCCTCATCCCTCTACCATGTAAGGTCAGTAAAAAGGTGGTGTTCCAGAAGCAGGAGGTGGTCCTTTATCAAACACCAGACCTGTCCATGCCTTGATCTTGGACTGTCTAGCTTCAAAAGCTGTGAGAAATAAATGTTTATAAGCTTCACAGTCCATGGTATTGTGTTATAGCAGCTTGAATAGAAAGAGAGAGCTACAGCACTAGTTGCAGAGGAGCTTAGCAGAGAAGTCTTGAGATGGAGATGGATGTGGGATTCATCTATGTTCAAGGAGCAAGACAGTTTGTAGAGGGGGCAGACAAGTCCAAGGAGCACTGACTTAAGGTCCTGCTGGAGACAAGGAACCCATGAAGCTGACCATGTAATGGTCTTTCAATAAATGGTAGGTCAAGGTCATTGGGAGCTGGGCCTGAGAGAGAGTAGTCAACAGAGATGCTCCATTCATAAAACCTTTCCAATGTGAAGAACACTCACAGTCCAGAAAAATGTCTCAGCAGGTAAAGGCGACTTCTGCCAAGCATGATGATCTGAGATCTATTCCTGGGGCCCACATGGTGGAAGGGGAGAATTGACTTCCTAAGCTGTCCTCTGGCCTCCACATGCGCGCGCGCGCACACACACACACACACACACACACACATGCACACACAATAAGTAAATAGAATGGTCACAAATGCAGGAGCCCTGTGCATTGTGGCAGGTCAAGTCAGTTTTTTCTACCCACATTTTATAGGCAAGGACTCATCTTCATACAGCTAAGGAGAGAGGAGTCTTGCTCAAGGTCACAAAAGGGAAGCAGTGAGGTGTGAATCTCAAAGGTCTCCCAACTCCCTGATGCCTGAGCTCTTTCTACTCAGAGACACTGCTGCTTTCATTGGCCAGACTCAGGTCTAGGGTGGTCTTGATGAAAACAGCTACTGTATTCAAGGTCCTGAGGGTCTCAAAGCATAGCAGAGGCTGGTTTGGTCAGTTATTGGCCAAGGCCTCTAAGGAACCTGGAGTTGAAAGGTTTAAGAGCACAGGCCGTTTACTTCCTTCTCTTGGTCCTGACCCCTCCCCCACTGTTACCTATAAAATGGGTTCTTCCCTCAATTTTTTAAAAAAAACAGGCATCAAAGGAAAACCTGGAAGAAGCTGCTATGGTTTGGTTATGATTTGTCCCCACTTAAATTTACGCTGTGGCTTGGTCCTCAGTGCAGTCGTGTTGGGAGGTGGGGTCCCCTGGGAGGTGTTTGGGCATGGGAGCAGAGCCCACCTGAATGGATTAGTCATTTCTTGTATATGAGTCCTGCTCACCCAGGACTGGTTTAGTCACTGTGAGTGTGGACTATTATTACAACTTGGTGTTCTATTTTGCCCATGTCTGCTTGTCTGTCTGCATTCTGTTATGCCTTGAAGCAGCATGAAGCTGAGAAGATGCCAAAACCATGCTCTTAGACTTCCAGCCTCTAGAACCATGAGCCAAAGTAGAACTTCTTTATAAATCCCCAGCCTTAGATATTCTGTTATAGCAATAGAAAAGGGTCTAAAACAGAAGCAAAAGCACTTTATAGGCTCTGCACTCAAGAAGGGAAGGGATGATGAGGAGGAAAATAAGGAGGGAGACCAGGATAAGGAGCAGAGTGGAAGAGGAAACATGAAAAGGTTGGATTGGGAGGAAAGGGAATCCTGACACCATGCATTTTTCTAGGTGTGGAGCTTTAGGCTCCGTCCTGGCCCCAGAAGGTTGGTGGTCCATCCTCCCAATTGCATCCTCCTTTGCCCTGCTGTCTCCCTTACCCCATATCAAATAATGACCTAGGCTGCCAGCTCCACGGTTAGCTTCAGATCTCTTTTTTCGCATGCATCTGTAGCCTCCTTGTCAATCACCCCCGCCCCTTCTGATAGCCTAGTCCTTTCAAGGACAAACTGAATCATGGCTTTCACACGTTTTTTTTTTTTTTACCACCTCTGCCCCCTGCTCACCTTGCTGGCCTCACCTCTTAGTTCTTGCAGTACTTTCATGCTGGGCTGGTATACACCTCTACTACCGCTGTTATGGCTTCCCACCACCTACACTGCTCAGCTGCTTTCTGGTCCCTGTCCACGTGCAAGGACTTTGCTTGACTCTATTCTCAATGCTGCATCTTCTTTTATGTGAAGCCTGCCTGACTCCCAATCTTTATGGCTCCATTAGGCAGAGTTGTAACAACATTATTTAGATTGGCCTACTATCTTCCCACTAGGATCTCTCCAATGAACCCCCACAGTCATTTTCTGGGTAACCAGGTGATTGTAGAAAGTCACAGTATGTGGCTGGGTAAATAAGACTGTTTCACCTGGACCAGCAACCCAGTCTATCTCAGCTCTGATAGAGACATGTCTGATCCATCAGTCACTTCAAAATTCTCCCAGAGGTTCCATCCCATCCAAGGAGAAGCCTTGTCCTCACACCACAGCCCTTTACCCCTCCTACTTCGTTATCCACTTGGCCCTTCCTCATCTGCTCTAGCTAGCCTAGCCTCCTTGCTGTTCCACAAGCATAGGGTCTGTTCCCTCCTGCGTGGTGCACCATTGTGTACCCAGGCCGTAGCCCAAATGGGAAACACAAGGGGACCTTTGTGAACGTAGGTGGATTATAAAATGAGTGAACAAAGGGATAGTGGGGACTCCATGGGACCCGACCTTATCCATTAGTCCAAAAGCACTGGAGAGCAGGGACTGAAGCACAACAGAGCCAAGTTTAGGCCGTTTCTGCACAGGAAGGACAGGACTGAAGGGGCGTGCAGGCCACGCCCCCACGAGAGCGGAACCGGAGGCACGAGGCCCGGCGCAGCCCGGAGCTTTGAGGGACGGGCACCTGAACCGCCGGAAGGAGCGGTACTTCTCTGTTCAAGCTCTGCAAGAGAGCTTTGAGCTGCCATGGAGCGTTCTGAGCCGGACCCTGCAGATGACGACGTCATGGACTCATTCCTGGAAAAGTTCCAGAGCCAGCCCTACCGCCGCGGCTTCCACGAGGACAAGTGGGAGGAGGTGGGCGGTCCCCGGGGCCTCCCCGGGCGTGGGAGCGTGGTCCCAGGCGCCGGGTGCTTCTCACTTCCAGGCCTGGTCGCAGGCAGAGGATGGGTGGTTTGTAGTTAAGAATCAGCTCCAGGTTTTGAGGTTCTTAAATTGTCAGTGCACTTAAGGCCACAGGGTTTGTCTGTGAAGCCTGCGACTCCACCACCTACTGGTTCTGATACTGGATCATTTTCTTAAGTTCTCTGAGCCGGGTTCCTCACGTGTAAAATTACTCGATTTGCAGCACGTAGTCACTTAGGGTGGGGACAAAGATGAAATGAGATAAGTGCCAGGAATATAAGAGTGCTCAGTTAATAGAAATTGCTACCACCCGTGGAGAATGTGAGAACGGAAAGGAAAATTGGAGCTCACCACCCTACACTCTTACTTTCCACAAGGGAAACAATCATGAAGATCTTCAACTCATCGTGAATAAGAAAACTTTGATAATAAGTCATGGAATTGGATCTACTCTATAGAAAATAATATTGATGCAATCTGTTCTTTTGAAATCCAGGAATTTGACAAGATCCCCCTATTCATGAAGAAAGCACCATCAGAAATTGACCCCAAAGAGAATCCCGACTTGGCTTGCCTTCAGTCAATTATTTTTGATGATGAGCGCTCTCCGGAAGGTATCTTATGTGACTAGCATTTGTTTTGTGTCTTTGTTTAATTGAGATAAAGTGTGAATCAAGCAGGTTTTTCTTTACAACAGGTAGTTAGCTCAAGCTGATTTGTCACAGTTAATACATTCTTCTTTGAATACCCAATTGTAACCATTCCTGTCCTCAAAGCCAGATTATCCTAAAGGATCAGGATAAACATGTGATATGTGCAAACAAGTATACAAGTACTGTAGTGGGTACAGTTGTAACCCTAAAGGGGGTGGGAGTGAGCTCACAGTGGGTCTGAAATTTGAACTGAATGTTGTTTTGAACTCTTACTAGGATAAGGAGGGAATTTGTATTTCAGAGAATGAAACATAAAAAAAAGAAGTATCAGTAATTGTTTTTTAAAGCCTTAAAAAAACTAGGATAAATATACTCTCTTTTTTTCGAGGGGGGTGGGTTACACTGGGAATTGAACCCAGGGCCTAACATGTTAGACAAGTAAGTGCTGACCATTGAGCTGTAACACCCTCTTTTAAAGACACTTTTTGGAGCTGGAGAGATGGCTTAGCAGTTAAAAGCACTGACTGCCCTTGCAGAGGACCTGGGTTTGAATACCAACACCCACATGGTGGCTAACAACCCTCTGTACTCCAGTTCCAGGGAATCCGATGCCTTCTTCTGACCTCTACGGGCACTGCACGACAGGGTGCATTAACATGCATGCAGGCAATATACTCATACACACAAAATAAAAATAATAAAAAAGATTTTTTAATTTATGTGTCTGTGTGTGTGTATATGCCACAAGTGTGTGGATGCTTGAGGAGGTTAGAGGAGGGCATTGGATCCCTGGAACTGGAGTTACAGGTCCTTGTGAGCCACCCACCATGGGTGCTGGGAACCAAACTTGGGTAATCTGGAAAAGCAGCAAGTGCTTTTAACTGCTGAGCTATCTCTCCAGGCCCTCTCCCTTTAAACTTCATTTTATTATGAGTGTGCACATGTGCTACAGTGTGTATACATATGGAGGCCAAAGGAGCACTTTGTAGAATGGGGTTCTCTTTCCACCTTTACACATGTTTCAAGGATCAAACTCAGGTCATCAGGCTTGGGTGCCAGTGCCTTTACCCACTGAGCCTTCTCACTGCTCTCTCTCTCTCTCTCTCTCTCTCTCTCTCTCTCTCGCTCTCTCATAAGTACTTAGTAACACATAAGATATTTGGAATTGATCGTTGCATTATGTTTGCATGATGTTGTGTCTCCATATTGATGCCCATTTTTTATCATACCATTTATTTGAAGTTTCCTTTCTCTGTGGTTCCTTCTTTTTGATTTATTGTACATTATATTACTGCATGATTTAGAATCTTTTTAGCCTTTTAAAAAGTAGGAAATAGTGACTGTTTTCTCCTCTTCTTAACAGAACAAGCCAAAACTTACAAAGATGAGGGCAATGACTACTTTAAAGAAAAAGACTATAAGAAAGCTGTGATTTCATATACTGAAGGATTAAGGAAGAAATGTGCAGATCTTGATTTGAATGCTGTTCTCTATACCAACCGGGCAGCAGCACAGTACTATCAGGGTAAGTGAATTCATTATTAAGTATTAATTATGACTTTATTCTCTCTCTCTCTCTTTCTCTCTCTCTCTCTCTCTCTCTCTCTCTCTCTCTCTCTCTCTCTCCCCTTCTCTCTCTCTGTCGTGTGTACAGGTATATATGCATGTGGAGGCCAGAGGTCAACCTCGGGTGTTATTCCTCAGAAGCCATCCACCTTGATTTTTGAGACAGGGTCTCTCATTGGCTTAGAGCTTGCTGAGTAGGCTAAGCTGGGTGGCCAGTGAACCCCATGGATCCATCTGTTTCTACTCTATCAGTGCTGGGATTACAAGGATATAGCATGCCTGGCTTTTTTGCAGAAATACTTGCAATTGAGCTCAGGTCCTCATGTTTGTACAGCAAGCCCTTTACTGACTGAGCCATTTCCTCAACCTAACTTTATTATTTTAAAAGAATTTACTTATGGGTTGTAGAGATGGCTCAGTAGTTAAGAGCATTTGCTGCTCTTACTGAAGACTTCTAGGTCAGTACCCAGCACCTATGTCTGGCAGCTCACAACCACCTGTAACTCCAACTCTAGGAGATCTGATAGCCTCTTCTGGTCTCCATGGGCATTGCACATTCATGGTATACATATACATAAATAAAAATAAACCTTAAAAAAAATAAGTTACTTATGATAAAAGCTATTGGAGGGTTTGAGAGAATGGGCTGTCCATTCTCAGAAACCTGGACTAAATGTAGTTTATTCTAATGGAATTCTGGTCTTCCAGATACATAAGATGAGAAGGGAAACAGATTGAATTATATTGCATTTACTTTCTTGTAAGGTATGAGTCAGTATAATTTTTGAATCCAAATACCTACTCTTTTGAAAAAAATTTTGTTTTTTTTGCCTTTCAGTCCTCTTCTCAAGAATGCTAAAAGAATTAAGATAGTACAGATTTTTTAGTGAAGCCAAACCACAGCATTGGTGACACACACCTGTCATCTTCCCAGTCAGGAAGCTGAGGCAGGAGGATCACAAGTTTGAGGCAAACCTGGGCTATATATCTAGACCTTGTCTTAAAACAAATCAAACACTGCTTACCCCCCACTCCATGACTGCCAGCTGATTGTTTCATGTACACCTTCACATCACTACATGGTGTGCTCCTATTGCTGCTCCAAGTGTCCAGGGTTGGATTACCTGTTGATCCAGATGTGGGAGTCAGGACCTCTCTCTCCCCACTGCTCCTGTGGACTGCACATGTCTGTTTCCTGTCTTCATGTATGTCTTTTTTTACAGTTAGTTTGGTATTTAGTCTTTTAATTTATGGCCATGTAAATGTTAATCACATTTACGTGAACCATGTTGAATGTTTTAATCTTTTTTTGAGACAGAGTCTTACTGTGTGGCCCTGGTTGACCTGGAGCTCTGGAACTCACTGTATATCACACTAGCCTCAGACTCACAGAGATCTGCCTGCTTCTGCCCCCTAAATGCTGGGATTAAAGCTGGCTACCACCATGTCTGGTTCACATTTTTCTTTTTTGTAATAAAACTATTGTTTAAGTAACTATCTGATTATCTGTTGACTTGATTTTCATCATTTCTCTTTCTCTCTCCCCCTCCCTCCTTCCCTCCTTCTCTTCCTCTCTTTAAAAGAAAATTTGCTGTATAATTCAGGATGGCCTCAGACTTACTGTGTAGCCCAGGCTGTGATCCTCCTTCCTCAGCCTCAGTGCTGGAATCACAGGCCTAAGCCACGAGGCCCAGCTTCGCTGTACTTCCCACTAAGCCAGTGCAGTGCTCTCCCGTCTCCTCACTCCTTTCCTGCTTGCTGCTCTAGCCATTCACCTGGTTAGTGACATCTCCCTGGAGCCTTCTGCCCTACTCCAATCTAGACTAGTTGCTCTCTGTGCTCGGCCACCTCTGTCATTCTATGATCACGTGTACCTTTCTAGAGAATTAGAGTAGCCCCTGCCTTGTGTTTGATCTGTTTCCTTAATCCCACCTTTTTTTTTTTTTTTTTTTTTTTAATTGTTTTTTGTCAGGGTGTCCCTAGTCATAGCCCACGATGTGAAGTCACAATGTGAACCAGGGTGGCCTTGATCTTGCTGAGAGATCCACCTGCCTCTGCCTCTGCCTCCCAAGGGCTGAGATTAAAGGCACATGCCATCTCTCCTGGCATTTGATCCCACGTTTTTTTTTCTTGATATATCCTAGTGTTTTGGGAATACATTCTTTAGTCTAGAGAAGGGAGGACTCAGAAGGACATTTTCTTAAATGATGTGTATCTGAAAACATTGTCAGTTCACTCTCACATGTAGCACCATCTCCCAAATCATCAGGTTTCCAGGCCTCGTCTGGGCCAGTGCTGACAGGAGGTGAGCCTAGAAGTCTTGAATTCACCCCCTCCAGCCTGGAATTGATACAAGACAGGTTTCATGTCCCCCATTCCTTCCTCCCAACTCCAGGGACACTTAAAAGGATCCTTTGTTCCTGTCCGCAAGAAATTTGGGGCCTGGGAGGGAGCTGAAAATACACATTTGGTATCAAAAATAAACACTTGGGGATGGCAGGAATATCCCCCCAAAACCCCTTACTTCCCACCCACCTACCCACTTATCTACCTACCCACAAGATGTAGGAAGAGATGATCCCCTCTACCCTATTGAAAAGGCCCATTTAAAAATAGATTATACTATTAAAATGCCAGCGGGCAGGAGACAGACCTGGAGTAGACTAGAGGACTGAGGAACTAGAGGGTCCCCCAGATGGGGACCACCCCCCAAAAAAGCCCTGCATTGGGAGGTAACAGGCAGGCCACCAGGGAATTTGGCAGACAAAGGAGTGACTTCTTAGGGGAAGAACAACAAAAGGTATTCCTCCCTAGCCAAAAGGTTACTTGAGAAAAGGACAGCTGACTGAGAAAAAGTTGAGGGACATAGCAACTCCTGTTTCAACAGCTCTTCCTTGGCTACAACTCCCAAACCATTAAATCGTACAGTTTCTCCCTGGGCCCTTAGTTATGGCCAGAAATAGTAAAACAAAACAAACTAGCTTGTCTACATACATCCTAAAAATGGAGGCAGGGCTCCCTTAACTCCCCAAGGGCAGGCTGAGAAGTAAGGAAAGGTCCTTCTTAAGTTAGACCCCCAGTTGTTGTGTATTGGAGGAAAAAGTGGGGAAGAAATGGGGGTGATGTCTTAACCACTCTCCTAAAAGGGTTGGGTCAGATTGTTCCCAGTGGCCGTCAAAAAATAAGTAAACTGTCCCTTCCACTAAAGTACGAGACATGTAAGTGTGACCAGTGGGAGATTGGGAAAGAAGTTGGTAAGAGATCCTCTTTCCCAGGAACCCCCACCCCACTGCAACCAGAGCATAAGTCTGTTAGTTGAGATGACTGACTGGAGAGACATTCAGGGCCATGGGTGGATGGACTACAGAAGGGGGTGGTGATAGTGGTAGTGGACATCATGGCTTCTGGGAGTCTGGGGAGAGCACCACGGGGGCTGAGAAGCCATCCATGCTGATGGAAGGGATGTGCACCTGTGCGCTGCCACTGGACTGAAACTGGAAGGAGAGCTTGGCTGGACTCCAGGGTGCACTTGGACTCAGGGTACTCCAGAAGTGGATACTGGCAGCGATCTGGGTGTCAGCCGCACTGGGGTCTGCCTGTCCTAAGTTCCATCACTCTAGCCCAAGACTCAGAGCAGCTGCTCACACTCTCCCCAGTTTACTCTTAATTTATCTGGAGACTGCTCTTTTCCATATATTCACCAATTGCAGATATTATTTAATTTTTCTAGTTACTAGTGATAGCAAACATCTTTTCATATGCTTACCATTTCTTGTTCACCTGTAGATTGTCAGATGTTATATACATTTTGAGGGCTTGATGAGCACCATATTTTTGACAAAAACAGTTGTTTTGACTTATTTTGAAAATTGGATGAGTGTTTTTGTCAATACACATGATATTTTGGAAACATTTTGATCTTAAAACTTGTTCTTTTACCAAATGTCATTTTGTTAGGCAATTTTCGTTCTGCCCTCAATGATGTGCTGGCTGCCAGAAAGCTAAACCCGTGCCACTTGAAAGCCATAATAAGAGGTAAGTCTGCAGGATGATCATCTTTGAGGAGCTCTGCACCAAACACTGACATTTGAAACTTCCATATTGTGGCACGAGGGTGAAATCATCTTCCTCCTGCAATCTTGATATTAAGAGCCTGTTCTTATCACCAGCAGCATGCCATTCTTGAAAGAATTGCTCAGAGAATACTCTGCCCTTTATGTTTTAAGTATTTGTGTGAATTGGAAACTCCTCATTTTAAATTAATAAAGAATAAAATTAATTAAGACAAAGCACATCCTGATTTTTCCCCATATTATTAGCTGATTGGAAGGCAAGATATTCAAATGCCATGTTAAAATTAATTAAAAGATAAGTTGTGGGACCTTTGCCGAGAACTCTACTGCTGGGATGTTCCCATGTTTTTCCTCTTGTGGTCTGACATTTCTTTTAATAACAGTTTTTATTACTTTTATACTTCACTTTTTCTTTGAGAAGCTCACAGGTACTTTGCAAACTTTGATTTATTCATCACATATTGAACCTCATAGACATGCCATGATATTGATGTGGAAGCCAGAGGACAATCTGTGGGAGTTGTCTTTCCCCTTCTACCATGTGGGTTCTGGGGAGTGAACTTTGGTTGTCAGGCTTGGTGACCAGCACCTTTGCCTGCTGTTCAAAATTAGTCTTTGACAACTAAGCCTTTTAGCTCTGTTGTTTTAAGTTTCTATGAAAAGCTTAAAAGATGCTAAGTAGAGAAAAATGAACATGATTGCATTAAAATGTTTTTTAATAGAATCAAGTGATGTAGCTTAGTGGTAGAGCGTTTGTCTGGCATGCACAAGTCTCCTTGGGTTTCATCTCAAGATGAAAAAACCCAAGACCTTCCCCCCAGAAAACCAGTAAAACAAAACGTAAGAGGGGCAGGCAGCTTTAACAGATGGCTTTTGGTCTGGATGTTATCTTGATGGATGGCATCATCTGAGGGTTGGAGAGTTGGCTCAGCGTTGAAGAGCACTCTGCTCTTACAGAGGACCCAAGTTCAGTGTGCAGCGCCTGTATCAAGTGGGTTCTGGCTTACAACTGTCTGTAATTTCAGCTCCAGGAGGATCTGACCTCTGGCCTCCGAAGTTAGTGGCACTCATGTGCACATAACACACATACAGATATACATTTGTGCACTTAGTTGAAATTAATCTAAAAATAATCTGAGATGGCCTTTATTCTTCTGTTTGCTGAGGAGGATCCTGAAGCTCAGACATGCTCAGGCCCTTGTCCAAAGTCTAGCAGGTAAATGATAGCCATTTTCTAGCCCAGATCTGTCTGATTCTAAAACCTGTGTTCTTTGCCACTGACCTGTGACATTTTAGAGTCCTTAATGCCAAGGAAATGGAGTTCTGAGCTGAAGGGCACTAGGACTATCTCTGATCTAGGGTGCAAAAGTCCTTTCTTTCTTTAATGACTGAATCACGCAGGGCTACACCCTGTTTCTCCTTTATGGGCTGACTTGTGGCTAGTGGGAGTGGGTGAATTTGTTCAAGGTGGGTGCTTTCTACATGTGTTGTTTCTAGACCCTAAGGACTCTGGTTTCTGCAGGTGCCCTGTGCCATCTGGAACTGAAACACTTTGCTGAGGCTGTGAACTGGTGTGATGAGGGGTTACAAATAGATGCCAAGGAGAAGAAACTTCTGGAAATGAGGGCTAAAGCAGACAAGCTGAAGGTTAGTGACAGCAGATAGTTTGCAGTAGCTAATTAACATTAATTAGCATTCCTCCGATTGTGTTTCAAGTCATTGTAAAGTGTTTACTCTTTAAAAGTAAACCTAGGGGCTGGAGAGATGGCTCAGCGGTTATGAGCACTGACTGCTCTTGCAGAGGACCCAGGTTCGATTCCCAGCATCCACATGATGGCTATGAACCATCCTTAACTCCATTTCCAGGGGAATCTGAAGCCCTCTTCTGACCTTGGCATTGCTTGACATGGGTGCACTCACATACATATAGGCAATACACTCATACACATAAAATAAAAATAATAAAATATTAAAAAAAATAAAAGCAAAACCTAGGTGCAGCGGTAGAGTCTGTGTTTTACATTTGAGAGGCTCTTTGTCATTCAGTCTCCAGCACCACAAAAAACAAGCCCACTAGAAATTGTCCTACCCTAGGAACGCTGGAAGACACAAGTAAACAGACAAGTAAGTACAAGCAAGTGTAAAAAGATAGTGTGTACGGTAGCAGTCTGTAGCAGTGGTGTCTGACTGTCCTGGCAAGAGCAGGGTGTAAATGGAGATTCTGACAGGCAGAGAGGATTTGCAAGAGAGTGACTGCTGAGCCTAATCTCTTAAAGACTGAGTAGGAGTGTACTTAGGTGAGTGATACGGACAGAGAACATTCCAGACAAAAGCCCTAGAGAGAGAGTTCAGCAAAGCCTAGTTTGGATACTTTTTTTTTTTTTTTGCTGCTGCTAAAATGTATTGCCTTGGACAAATTCCTGGTATTTCTCAGTCCCAGCTTTGAACATGGAAAATATAATAGATACTTTGAACATTTTTATGGAAATTAAATGAGCTAGTTGGGTTTTTTACATTCTCAAGAGAGTTATAAACAAATAAAACCAGATAAATATACAAGAGAGGCCACATGATCTGCAAACCCTAAAATATTTGTTGTCTTCCCTTTGTAGTGGAAGTGCAGGGAGCCATTGGTATTGGACAGATTAGGGGGGATAAGAAATCTGAGTTTCTCCAGACTGAGTAGAATCATGGTGTTTTTCTCTCACAGATTATAATTATGCAAAATGCAAAGCCCATAAATTCTTTTTTTGTTGTTTTAAAAAAATTTTTTTATTGAACTTTTAAAATTTCATACAGCATTTCCCGCTGAAATCCAGACCCCCTCCCCCATTCATGCCTCCCCCTATCTCCCCATCAAACCCTATGCACTCTGCCATACATGCTGAGTCCTATTCATTCAGGTGTTTGTACCCAAATGTCCTTCAGTGTAAACTCGTCCACTCGTCCAACAAGTTGGTTGTATGTAAGTCATACTCTCCCTCACCCAGCAGCAATCAATCTGAAATAGTTCTCAATCTAGTGCTGGCCCGCCACCTATTTCTCACCTCCCCTTTGGGTCCTTGTTTAATTGAGATGACATGGTGGTCCCATGCTCAATGCCACTGCTGCCATAGGCTCACATGAGCAAGCAAGCCTCCAGTGGCCTGGAGGCCTCCACCTCCCTGTTCATGAACTATCCCTGGCTCTTACAGTCTTTCCGCCTCCTCTTTGGAAATGGTCCCTGAGCCATGGTGGATGAGGTTCCACATAGGAGTCCCATCCTACACTATGCAGTCTCTTACTCTCCAAAACTTGGCCAGCTGTGGCCTTCTGTGTGCATCGCACTCTGATGCACACAGAACCCTCACTGGTGAGAGTTGAGGGGTGCATTAGCCCTATTTCTACCCATTATTCTGCCATGTTCCATGAGCCTTAGTTGCAGAGATTCGACTGCAGATGTTCTCCAGCCACCCCAGAGAAGCTGGAATTCCCTACAGCGTTCTTGTGTATTCCAGTGCCTGTCCCTGAAGGAAAATGTTCTCTGTCTGGTGGTGTCTTCCTTGTCTGCCTAAGCTCACTTTGGGGGTAGAATTGGTTACCCCTCTCATTGCACTTGGTTCACACCACCAGGGTACCATACCTGGTATACTTGGCCTTTACTTGGCTGTACGCCTCAGTAGATGGTGAGTTCCGTGGGCACAAGAACTAGATTTTAAATTTATGCTGGTACTGGGCCTGACCCCTGGGTGTATGTTTTGTGCATGTTTACTGAACTGAATCAGCCACTGGCAATCCCAAAACACAGGAGCATGGGTTGCATAAAAACTAGAGGAGTAGGATGGGGTAAGAGAGGAGGAAGTGAGTTTCCTGGAGCTGATGAATGTGAATTTGATTTCCAGCGAATGGAAGAGAGGGATGTGAGGAAAGCAAAGTTGAAAGCAAAGAAGGAACAGAATCAGAGCGAGACTTTACTCCAGGCCATCAAGGTGAGTTCTCAAACTGTAATCCCTACAGCCTATGAAATCCAGTGTGAGGCCTGCTGGGAACCTTTTTTGGAACGCTTTGCCTCCGTGGCTGCTCCTCTCTTTCTGCATTCGTGAAGCAGTGATAAAGAAAAGCAAGCTCGAGTCCGACCACCACATTCAGTGCATGTGCTGGTCTCAGCAACATACTGAATGTGTGATCTGGGCTAAGCATTCTCTCATTTAATCTTCACAGCAGATGTGTGGGAGAGGGCTGCTTGCTCCTGGTTTGCTAGATTCAGAGAGGTGAAGAGATCTCACCCAGCTAATGAGTGTCAGAGTCAGGGCCTTGTTCTTTGCTCTGGCTTATATTATATCCTGAGAAAGCCTCATTTTTAGGATGTTGATTTAACTATCAGCAAAAAAAAAATCCTTCCATGACCAGTGTTTTGAAATGAATGTAGTCTGGGAAGTTCAGTGGCACAATTGGCTAGTGTGTGGTACTTATATGAAATGCACTTTCCTTTATCCTTGACACTCAGCTAGTTACCCTTTTGAGCTTGCTGTCTTCACAAGGAAGATAATAGCCCCGTCATGGGTGGGATTTTAGTTTCATTCTGTGTTCAGTTGAATTACACACCCATTACTTATGGGTGTCAATTACTTACTGACTTTGAGAACTTAACACTACTAAAATGCACCCCATGGGTCTGGAGAGATGCTCAGTGATTCAGAGCACTGGCTGCTCTTGCAGAGAACCTGGATTCAGTTCCCAGCACTCACATAGCAGCTAACAACCGTCTGCAACTCCAGTTCCAGAGGATCAGATGCTGTCTTAGTTTGTTTCTTCATTGCTGTGACAAAACACTCTGACCACTACCAACTTGGGGAGGAAAGGGTTTATTCAGCTTACATCTCCTGGGTCACAGTTCATCAGGGAACCCCAAGGTAGGAACTCAGGGCAGGAACCTGGAGGCAGGAGCTGGAATGCTGCTTACAGGCTTGCTCCCCTGGCCCCTGCTCAGCCTGCTTTCTTATGCAACACAGGCCCACCTGCCCAGGGGTGACACCACCCACAGTGGGCTGGGCCCTTCCACATCACTCATCAAGAAGATGTCCACAGACATGGCCACAGGGCAGTCCAATGAAGGAAATTCCCCAATTGAGGCTCCCTCAACCCAGGTGTGTCAAGTTGGCACTAAAGCTATCCAGCACAGATGCCCTCTTCTGACCTCCAAAGGCATTGCGCACATGTGGTGCACTTACGTACATGCAGACAAAACGCTCATACACATAAAATAAAAATAAATAACAATTTAAAAAAATGTACCTCACGTCTCTCTCCCAACAATCTGTTAACAAATATCAACAAATCAAATAGAATGGTAGCCAGGTATGGTGGTATGTGCCTAGAACCCCAGCACTTTAGATGCAGGAAGAGTGTGACTTCAAAGCCAGTTTATGCTGAATAGTGAGATTCTGTGTCAAAAACACAAACAGTGCACACACACACACACACAAAATGGCATGATGGCACACGTCTTTAATCCCAGGACTCAGGAGACAGAGGCAGAGGCAGGCAGATCTCTGTGAGATAGAGGCCTGTCTGATCTACATAGCGAGTTCTAGGCCAGCTGGGGCTACAGGGAGACTCTGTCTCAAACACACACACACACACACACGTAGAGTGATGAGCTTCAGGTATTCTATCTGATACTTATTCACAGTGAGGATCTGGCCCTTTTCCTGAATGGAATACCTAGATAGTTGCATGTACATTTTAGAAAATTTCTGGTTATTTTCTTTAGTCCAGCCTTGCATATTAGAATACAGTGTGCGAAGAATCATTCTCAACAGTACATGGCACTGTATTTTACTGATGGTTACTGAGACCAGCAGATAGCTGCTATTGAAACAGCTTCTGCTGCTTGTTTATGTACTGGTTTCCCTGAATGTGCTAACTTTAGGAACCTTGGTACTTAAGAGGACCCTACTCTTTAGACCCTTGATGGACATTTCTGTATCTGCTGTGCTCTTGAGCTTTTCTGTGCCTTTGCATATGCTGTGCGATGGGGTGTTTCCTGCCTTCTCTGCCTTTCAAAATCATTGTTCCGGCTTAGCATTTCTTACAGACCTCAGCTTCCAGGCTTATTTGGTCCTCTGCATTTCTACAGCTCCACTTCTTACTTTCTATTGGCACTAGATAGTAAAGAGGCTTGAGGGTAGGGAACCATGTCCTGCTCCTCTCTTGATGCAGAGCAAAGACAAGACCACTGCTTAATGAAAGTTAAACAAGTGGTGCAACCATGTGCCAGGCTGCCAGGCTGGTTAATGTGGATCCTGTGTGGCGCTGCCCTCGGAGCTCACATTGCTAGGGTTTCTTGATTTCACTGATGTGTGTTTGTATCTTCCTGCAAGATAAGGTGTGTATATGCTTGTGTTTCTGTCTTGAATCCAGACTAGGAACATTAAGCTTGTGGCTGAAGCTGTCAGTGTGGATGAAGATTCAATCTTAGATGGTCCAAGTCAGATCTTCCTGGATGGACTTAGCTCTGAGAACCCCTGTGGAGCCCGGCTAAGTCTAGATGACCAGGGCAGGCTGAGCTGGCCTGTGCTGTTCCTGTACCCGGAGTATGCCCAGTCTGACTTCATCTCTGCTTTTCACGAGGACTCCAGGTACTTGCTTACCCAACAGCTCTCCACTCTTGCTTGTGTGCTTCTCCCTGCTGACCTCTGAGGAAGAGCAAGTGGACTTTTGGCTGAGGAGGGAAAATAGTTTAGATGCTCCCACCAATTCAGGTCAATAGGTCTACTGTATCTTAAATCTCTGTCTACTAGCTTTGTGACACAGGTCTCACCTTCTTACTGTCTGGGTTAGTAGGTGTTACACCACAGTTCAGTGTTGCCCAAGAGTGGTACATGCCTGATGAATGAAATCATTTTAGGTAGTACACATAATTCAAGTGTTCATTTAGTAGGAGAAATATATATGGCACATTTCACTTGTGATTTCAAAGGGTTAATGCTCAGAACGTGGCTAAATGTAAAAAAGATTTGTACTCCGAATCTGTTAAAAAAAATTATGTCCCAGGTCAAGGGATATCCTACATATTTTGGGCACTGTTGTCAAAGTGGATTAAGCCTGAATTTTATGTTTTATACATTCTTTTTATCTCTGAATTGGTGCCTAGGGATTGATGTGGGAATGCAGATCCAGTCATTGGTACCCAGAAAGTACATGTTCCTTCCTTAGGTTTATTGATCATCTAGTGGTGATGTTTAGTGAGGCACCCCCCTGGGACGTGGAGCGGAAATACAGCTCTGAGCATCTGGAGGTAAGAGAGGTTTGATTTCACTCTTCCAAGGGGATTTTTGGGGGGAAGGGGACAAAGATACAGAGATTGGGTGCTTTTTAAAATTAATAATAGGGTGTGTATGTATAATGTGAGTGTAGGCATGTGCATGCCACAGCACACATGTGTAACTCAGTGGACAACTTTTGGGACCTGCTTCTCTCCTTCCATGGGTTCCAGGGATTGAATTCAGTTTGTCAGGGTTGTGTTCACTGGACCATCTCATTGGCCCTGGAGTGCTTAAAAAAAAGGTAAATTATATAATATTTACCATTTTAACAGTTTTATGTTCACAGTTGAATAACATTAAGTGTTCACATTAATGAACACCATCATCACCCTCCCTTTGCCTTAATTTTCCATCATCCCAAACTGAAATTCTGCTTGCATTAAATAATAATGCCCCACTCTAGTCCTTGACAACCATTGTTCTGCTTCCTGTCTCTGGAAATGTGACTATCTGGGTGCCACATGGAAACAGAAATCATATAGGATTTTTCCTTCCATGCCTGGCTTATTTCACAGCATAGTGTCCTCAAGGTTCACATGGTCTAGTATGAGTCATCTTATAGCATATGCACGCCTCCCTTTTTAAGGCTAATACTCCATTGTTAGAATTTTTAAGATTCCCCTTTTTTTAATTTAAAATTTTTTTATTATTATTATTGTTTTTGGTCTTTTTGAAACAGGGTCTCCCTGTAGCCCCAGCTGTCCTGGAACTCACTATGTAGACCAGGCTGGGCTTGAACTCACAGAGATCCACCTGCCTCTGCCTCCTGAGTGCTGGGTTTAAAGGTATGTGCCACCACGCCCAGCTAAAATTTTATTATTTTTATTTTATGTGTATGTGTATATTGCCTGTATGTAGGTAAGTGCACCCGTGTCATGCGATGCCTGTGGAGGACACAAGAGGCTGTCAGATCCCCTGGAACTGGAGTTAATGGACAGTTGTTAGCTGCCATGTGGATGCTGGGATTTGAACCCAGGTCTTCTGCAAGAGCAGTCGGTGTTCTTAACTGCTGAGCCATCTCTCCAGCTCCAAGATTTCACTTTTAATTATGAGTTTATGTGTATGTCTGTGTGTGTGTCTGTGTATCTGAGTGCAGGTGCAAAGACCAGAAGAGGGTGTTGGATCCCCTGAAGGTAGAGTTACAGGTAACCATGAACCACCTGACAGAGTGCTGGGAATCAAACTCAGGTCTCCTGTAAGAGCAGCTAGCACTGTTAACTGCTGAACCATCTCTCTAGCCCCACACTGTTGGAATTTTAAAAACATAACCAGAGGTAACTAAAGGGGAATTTGTTTTCTAAATATGTGAGAGTAAGATGCCAACTGATGTTCCAACAACCCTGAATTGTTTTAATGTATGTTTCCTATAGACAAGGGCATTTTTCTTCATAATCCCTATCTTAGTTTGTTTCTTCATTGCTGTGACAAAACACTCTGACCACTACCAACTTGGGGAGGAAAGGGTTTATTTATCTTACATCTCCTGGGTCACAGTTCATCAGGGAGCCTAAGGTAGGAACTCAGGGCCGGAACCTGGAGGCAGGACCTGGAGCACAGGCCATGGAGGAACGCTGCTTACTGGCTTGCTCCCCTGGTCCCTGCTCAGCCTGCTTTCTTATGCAACACAGGCCCACCTGCCAAGGGGTGGCACCACCCACAGTGGGCTGGGCCCTCCCACATCACTCATTAAGAAGATGCCCCTCAGACATGGCCACAGGCCAGTCCAATAGAGGCAATTCCCCAATTGAGGCTCCTTCTATCCAGGTGTGTCAAGTTGACACTAAAGCTATCCAGCACAATCCCCAAACAGATATCAAAGTCATGAAACTAGCACTGTTGATAATGACAGCCTCCTCCCCAGGCTCCAGTCAGGTTTTGCAGATTGTCTCAGGAAGGCTCTAGCCCATAGCTCCTTTTCATGAGTACACAATGTATTGATCACATCCTTTAGTATCCCCTGGTATACACAAGTTCTTTGGACTTCCTAATCCCAGCCCTTGTGCAGAGCAGTTATTTTGTGGCTTCCCTGTCTGGTTTGCCCATGTTTCCTGTGCCTGCATTTGTATTATGCATGTTTGGCTGGGATGTCACAAGAGCGATGCTGTATTCTCACTGAGTCTATCAGCTGGTTCCTGGTGATGATCACCCTGGTCACCTGATTGAGGAGGGTCTCTCAGGTCCCTACTGAAATTTTTTCTCATCCATTGTCATTGATAAGTATTTTATAGGAAGATTCTTTGAAATGCTATAAATATCCCACTATTCTTCAGCCCTTCAAAATACCTTTTTTACACAAGCTCATGCGTGTGTTAATCAGGGAACAACCTGCGGGAGTCAGTTTTCACTCCCCCCGTGTGGGTTCTGGGGATTGCACTCAGGTCTTCAGAGTTGGCAGCAAATACCTTTACCCACTGAGCCAGCTCATCACTCCAACACATTTGTATAAATCAGTGGATTTATGGTTTTCCTTTTATTTAGTAAGATAAAATTTGTTAGTATGGTTATTTTATGCTCAATTTGTCATAGACTTGGTCAGTGGGAATCTTCAGATGTGTTTCTGTACTTTTAATTCACCTCCTTTTTAAAGCTCTTGTTTTCTGGCACAAGATGTTCCAGGTTTGAGTTGTGTTTTTTTTTTGCCCAGCTCAGATATCAGCCATTTTTTCTGCCAAGGAGCTTTGGTTCTTTCTATTGGAGAATGATACTTAGAAGCTCTGGGCAATATAGATGCATTGATATATTAGGAACGGGGCTCATGACTAGGGCATGAGTGTGTGTGAAAACATGTATCTCTAGTTCTCTAACAACGTGAGATTTGTTTTATCTGTGTGTGTGTGTGTGTGTGTGTGTGTGTGTGTGTGTATTTGGGGGGGGTCTTTTTTGAGACAGGGTCTCCCTGTAGCCCCACTTTTCCTGGAACTCACTAAGTAGACTAGGCTGGCCCTGAACTTAGAGAGATCCACCTGCTTCTGCCTCTTGACTAAAGGCATACGCCACCACGCCCAGATTCCTTTTCTGTTTGCTTTTTTTAAAAATTTATTTTTATTTTATGTGTATAAGTGTATTGCTTGCGTGTGTGTGTGTAAGTGCACCCATGACGTGCAGTGCCCAAGGAGGTCAGAAGAAGGCATCGGATTTCCCTGAAACTGGAGTTATGGACAACTGTTAGCTGCCATGGGAGTGCTGGGAATCAAACCCAGGTGCTCTCTAAGAGCAGTCAGTGCTCTTAACCACTGAGCTCTCTCTCCAGCCCTTCTATTATTTGTTTTTTAAATATTTGTTATTGTTATTATTTGTGTGTGAGTGTATTGCCTGCATGTATCTAAGTGTACCCGTGTCATGCAATGCCCATGGAGGTCAGAAGAGGGTGTCTGATTCCTCTGGAACTAGAGTTACAAATGGTTATTAGCTGCCATGTAGGGTGCTGGAAATTGAACCCAGCACCCATTGCAAGGTCCTCTGCAAGGGCAACCAGTGCTCCTAACTAACCAGTCTAACCTCCACCTTTTATATATTTGTAATGAAGATTTTAGTGTTGTTTTATTTTGTTTTGTGGCAACCTTTCACCCCATAGCCCAGGTGGCCTGGAACTCAAGACAGTCCCCCTACCTTAGCCTTCTGAATGCTGGGATTATAGGTGTGGCATCACCATGCCTACTGACTTTAGCAGTTTTTTATCAGTCCCTTCCTGCCAACAGCACCGACACCTTTCGGGGAACTGCCCTCTGCCTTTTTGGACTTCCAGTTCTCCATGCTGGACTACTGACCCAGTGTGGCTGCCTCCCTTGTCTTCTGCAGACTGACATCCTTCACTGCTTACCCACTCTGTGTAGAAATCTTCATTCTGCTCCATCCTAGCCTAGCCTTGTGGCACAGGCTTGTAATCTCAGGTACTCAGGAAACTGAGGCAGGAGGATCCCAGGTTTAAGGACTGCCCAGGCTGTAGAAGAGCAGGTGCAAGGCTATTCTGGACAACTTAGACCCTTATCTTTAAAAAAAAGAAAAGTTGGGGTTATAACTCAGTGGTAGAACATTTGCCTAGCATGTGTGAGACCCTGGGTTCTATCCCTAGTACTGCAAGCAACAATAAAACAAAACCAATAGGCTGTCCTCTGCCATAATTTGTGGCCATCCTTACTCTACTGGGGTCCTGATACCTCCCATCATTTTGGCTGCCCCACAGATACGAACATTCTCTTTACTCTGCATGACCTCCAGCTTATCACCCTGGGTCATCTATCTTACAAGGAAGCCCTTCTCATTCTGTTCAAGCTGGCTGGTTCCTAGCATGAATGCCCTCCCACTGGTTGAGCTCTTAAACTCCCAGCACTGGCAGTTCCCCTGTACAGATGTCCTCACCCTGCTAGTGCTCTGGTGTCCTACATACACATCCTTCTCACCTTCTTGGGTTCTTCCTTTGTGTGGGGGTCACTGGCTTTCTGTTCCCTACTCCCTATGGCTCTAGGACTAAATTCTTTATTTTTATTTTATGTGCTTGAGTATATTGCCTGCATGTGTGTAAGTGCACCTGTGTCGTGCAGTGTCCATCGATGTTAGAAGAGGGTGTCGGATCCCCTGGAACTAGAGTTACAGAGGGTTGTTAGCTACCATGTAGGTGCTGAGAATTAAACCCAGGGCCTCAGCAAGAGCACCCAGTGCTCTTAATTGCTGAGTCATTTCTCCAGCCCCGCTAGGACTAAATCCTTAAAGAATAGAAGGCTGCATGGGCCTAGGCTTGAGATTTATCTTCTTTTTTTACTGTGTGAATAACATTGGCAAGATGTTCCCTTCCCTTGAACCTTGGAGAGTAGAGGTGACAGTAACCTTTCTCAGTATCATGGTGGGAATTGACCTGAATACCCTTAGCCTATAGCTGGGTAAAGAAGGCATTCAGCTAGCTGCAGTTGCTGTCCCTAAATTCTGCCTGGAATTGGCCACAACATGCCTAGAACTGCCAAAGCCCTTATTTGTCTCTCCTCTTGGTTAATCTTGCAGGTCTACTTCGAGGATGAGGATAGGGCAGAACTATACCAGGTTCCACCCAACAGCACACTGCTGCAGGTGCTGCAGCACCCTAGGTGAGTGCTTCCATAGAGCTGATGGGGACAGTGCCCAGGCTCCTTCATAGACTCCAGCCTGCTTCTCCTTCGCTCAGTGATCACCTCGGTCTTCCCTCCCTTCTGCTCTGGATATACAGCCATGTCAGGTGGCAGCCAGTGGAACTGAACTGGCCCAGCCCAGTAAAGTACAGTACTAGGGGAAGTGAGTAGAGACTGATCGCAGAATGGAAAAACTGCCTGGCCTTTGCACCTGAGTTGGCTCCCTTCTGATTGCATTTTGTCTCCTGATGCTGTTATATGGAAAGAACCGAGAGACCAGGTTCTCCTACCCATTGTCAAAAAGGGAATTGAACAACCAAATTAATAGCTTTTTAAAAAGCAGAAAAAGTAGATTTTGAGTATGGCCACATTGGAAAGTAGGAATGGGCAGCCAAACCTGGCTTTTTGGGGTACAGGCTCATTAGAGCAATGCCAGGTTCAGTAACAGTCTGGCTTACCCCAATCACTCATGGAATATGGAATGAATGAATGGACAGCATGTCTGTACTTGCATTTCATGTTTAGCCCTAAGTGTGCATGCATGGTGCCAGAGGATTGAGGCTCTGGCAGGTTATAAGGGAAGAGTGGCATGCTGACTTCACCAGACTTAGAAACTGCCAAACAAACAAATGTGCTAAACTTGTATTGTTCACCACATCTAAACATTTGGTCATGGGTAATTAAGATGTAGTGCAGTTAACCCCTTTGTTGTGCTTCCTGCAGGTACTCTGTGAAAGCGCTGACACCAGCATTCCTGGTCTGTGTAGGATCCTCTCCTTTTTGTAAGAATTATCTCCAGGGAAAAAAGGTACACAGGTAAAGTGGGAGCCAGGCCTTTGGGGTCTCTCCCTCAACTTCCTCTGCCTGCAGTCTAGCACAATTGAATTGGCTGGACAGACCTGGAGCTAGAGTGTGGCACTTTTTTTTCTATCAGTGGTCCATAGCCTCATGCTGAGGGGGTTGAGCTGCTGGCCTCCTTGAACTTCAACCTGTCTGGCTAAGTACTGAGCTCCATCTGGTCCTCACTCTCATCAGTGGACTCTCAGCTCTACCCTGGTTGGAACATCCTTGGAGTCCGTCTTTGAAGAAACCATCTGCTACAGTTGTCACATCAGCTGGCCTACGGATCAACTTGGGATGCAGTGACAGTTCTTAACCTTTGTGACATACACAGAAGATGCTTCTCCAAGACAGTAAAGCAACTCTGTGTAGTATTCTAAGGCCTAAAGGCCGAGAGACTGGCCTTTAGTTATTTCACCAGCATCGAGGAGGCCTGTAAGTGGTGCCATAGATGCTTTGGGGTAAATGGAGCCAGAAAAGCCATATCCTATTTCTGCATTTGTAAAGACTGCGCATACTGGGGTCTTTGGAACCCCTCAAAAGTCTTCCAGTTCCCTGGCCTTCCAGTGCGAGAACTGCATCAGACGTGGATGGCAGCCCAAGTTCTTTGGCTTGAGTTATACTTCCACCTCAGCCTCCTGATTGCTGGATTATATGTGTGCACCACTGTGCCTAGAGAGGGTTTTATTCCTTTCCATCTGGAAAGTCTTTGCCTGCCATAGATTAGGTTTTTGTCTTGAGCTGTTTGTTTTTCTCATCCTGGAGGCTGTATCCTTACCTGAAGCTCTGTGACTTCTGCAGTGCCCACCCCATCTCTGAGGAGGAGCATACTTGTGGATGCTCACAAAAAGGGCTGTGAGCAGATGTGACGTGTGCCTATGTCCAGATAGAGGTTTGAGGAGCCAATGAGCAGGAGGTTGTAGGTAGGCTTATATTTTCTCTTTTCTGTGAGAGCCCATTTCCCAAATAGGGGTATTCCTTTAGCCCGGGTGCCAGGATGGTAAGACACGTGGAGCAGAGCTGAAACAGCTGGCCTGAAGACATTGACTGTAATGTGAATGAGAAGCATTTGCTGTAGTAAGTACTGAGATTTGGGGGTTGTTACTATAGCAAAGCTCACTAATACATCATTAAACTGAAACCAGCTGTTGTCCTTCAAATGGGCCAATTTGGGGTTTTGTGTCATGGGCTTCTTTGTTTCTGGAGGAGAAATTGGCTGTGGAGTTTTTCAGGAGGCCAGTGTGGCTTTCTTTGCAGGTGCAGGTCCCTGCAAGTCCAGCCTCTTTTGTTGCCATAGTTTCAGAAACACTATGACCATTCTCTCCTCAGCTAGAGCCTTCCCACTTGACTTCTTTTGTGAGAACCCAGAACTTTGTGTAAGGGGCCTGACAGCTTCAATCCAGCAGGCATTGCAGGTTCCTGGGAACAGCCATCTGCAGTCACCTCACTGTCTGGATGAGGCACATTCCACTATGCTTCTCGGTGCCTAATTAGGGATAATGACCTGGCTCCTCAGGCATGGTGAGACTGAGATGAGATGGGTGAGAGAAGTTGCAAATTGAAATGCACCTGGCAAGGTTCTTCTGGAACCTTCATCCTTAGCACCCATACCTTTCATAAAGCTCATGGCAGGCCAGGTGCTCAGCGAGCTGCTGTGCCTTTTCTCTAGTCCTTGACTAGATTTGACAGGGGAAGGGGAAGAAAGGGGACCTGGAGTGGTGCTGTTAGGCCAGAGGTAGGATCCCAGTGGCTGCTGCTTTGCTGAGATGGTCAGGAACTGCTAAAACCTACCTGCGCTGTGAGATTGCTGTGCAGATCCTGCATGTGAAGCCTCAGCCCACGTGTGACTTGTACTCAATGAATTGCTCTTCACTCAAGAGCAACCAGAGCGCGTCTACACAGACTGGTAGCACTGCGCCAGCGAGTCACCATGGGTGATTCTGTACCCCAGGTGACATCATAACCTGGTGGGTGCCACTGGCATTAAGCGGGAGGAGGTATGCCTCAGTTCCTTACTGTGCACAGGATAGCACTCCACAAAAGGAATTATCTAGCCCAAATTGTCAGTAATGCAGCAGTAGTGAAATGTTGCAGTAAACCAAAAGGGAAAATAAGTGTTTGGGGGACAAGGTCCTGCTATATAGCCCAAGTCAGTCTTGAACTTCCTGTGTAGCCATGGTCTTCCTGCCTCAGCCTCTGGGTGCTGGGATTACAGACATGTATTATGCCTAGCAAAGTAGGAACTTTAATAATCAGGCTATGAAAATTGAAATATCTTTACATGAATGTTCTGTAAAGCACTTTCTCAGCCTCTCCAGTGCTAATGGCAGGAGTGCACAGGGGGGCCTTTCCACTGGTAGCCTCCTGGTCATTACGCCTTTAAGTTAGTAGTGCTTAGAGACAGGAAAGGAATGGGTCTTTGGGCTGATGGGAAGTGGGGCCCAAGCTGGCCCCACTGTGGGTCACATGACATTCCTTCTGAGCTGTGAGATGGAGAGGGGTAGTGGAGAAATGAATGATTGCCATGTTGTCTGATTCTGTGGGAAGCAGGAGCCTGGCCCCTTCAGGTCAAGACTTGGTAGGCAAACCTTGCAGAATATAGGCCAGAGGCAGTAGGATCTGTGAGAGAAGCCTTTGTGGCTAGAAAAAGGCCCACCATGAATCCTGGGTTGAGACAGTGTCAGCCACCTCACTGGCCTTAAGTTGGATGGGAGCAGTTTACTTAGTATGGCTATGTAACCCACAGCATCTCTACCACAAGATAGACCCTGCCTCTTGAGGTGATAAGAGAGTTGAAGATCCTTAAGGCCCTTGCAGTACAGACTCCAGGCCTAAGAGCCTTGAATATACATCTCAGGGCTCTCAGCCATGTGGTACTTCCTGTCAGTAGGGGCCAGAGCTTGGAGAAGTGTATGGCTAGGTAGTGCAGGCTCAGCTCGTTGTGGCCACAAAGCAGGATTGCAGAGGGATGAGTGGTGTTGGGGTGAGCAGCTGCAGTGAGTTTGGTAGCTGACCCTGTAATACTGCAGTACATCTGTGTGGCCAGATGCCCAGCAGGTGAGGACTCAGCAGTTGAGCACTTGGCTGCAGGGGCCATTAAGGGATTTGTCCAAGTGGCCAGTGCCTGATATGGCACTCTGTGGGTGGGAAGGCACTGATAGCTGTACTGAGTGTGTGGATGGAAGGAACAAAACAAGCCAGAGTTGGTTTTCAGATCCCACTCCGAAGCCTCCCTAGTCCTGGACACAGTTCAGCTATGCAGCAGGTGGTGCAGGAGCCAAGGGTCTCTGCTTCGGAGCCAGGCTGCCTCCATCCTGGTTCCAGCCCCACACTCCCTTGTGTGAGGCCTTGAGTACTCTCCCTGTTCTTGTTGTTCAGTTTCCTTCTCTGAAACATGGGCAAGATAAGAGCACCTACTTCATGCAGGTGCTTTGAGGACTGAGCAAGTTATCTGTATGGAGCCCTTGGAACAGAGCTTGCCTCGTGGTGTCTGCTCTGACTTTATTCCCTACCTTACCAGGCCCTCAGCTTTGGACTTTTGCTTTGTATATTCTGTTCCCTGGACTATTCTTCCTCATCTGTTTCCTGCCCTTTTACCTACAACAGCTCCTCCTGTCACTAATGGCTAGTCTTCAATTGTCCTACTGCCTCTTTCAGGCAGTCCTCCCTGGCTCCTTACCTATGTGTTCTGTGGCTCCACACCATCACTGCCCTTGGCACACTGCACATTAACTACTTACTCGATAGTTCACCCTACTTTGCTGTAAAATGCACCAAGGACCCTGAGCCACACTTTTGTACTGCCAGAGCCTAGCACTGCACTTGTTCAGCACCTCAAAAGCTTGTAAGTAATTAGAGGCTTGTGGCCTTGAGAAGAGGAACTCATTCTAAACAGATGAGAGATAAAAGCCAGCACCCATGGTGGACTCAGGCCATTAAGTTGAAGGAGTGAGGTGAGTGACCCCCAAGCAAAGCCACAGAGCCTTGAGAGAGCAAATGCTGGTCTGGCTAAGAAGCATAGGCAGCTGCCTGCTGAGTTTCTGGGCCAGGCTAGCAGCATTCTAGTGCCGGTTCCCTAACCCTTCCACACCTCTAGGCAGCAGGTACTGTATAAAGGTGGCATGGAGCTTAAGCAGCCTGCCCAAAGTCAGCTAGCCAGTGAAAAGTAGAGCAGGACTTGAATTCAAGACCCTCCATATTCCTTCAGAGAAAGGATTGCCAATTCAGGGCCCTGCTTCCTAGTTTGCTGTGGGCCCAGATGCCTCTGTAACACTCCCAAGCTTCTGGTAGAGCATCAGCAGTCACAGGTGCAACATTCCACCTGTCTACTTGCTTAAACGATTATCTGCTGCCTTCAGAAACCCACAACCCATAGCCAAATCCCCGTAGCACCAGAACTCCATCAGTGGGGCTCTGGTCAGTCTCTCAGTCTTCTGTCTCCCTCCCTCTCCCTCTCTTCCTCCCTCTCTCCCTCTCCCTCCCTCTCCCTCCTTCCCTTTCTCTCCTTTAGTACCAGATTTATTAGCTCATAGTTCACAGTTCTATAGGTCAGAAATGTGCCTTGACTCAGCTGTTTTCCTCTGCTCCAGGATTTATGAGGTGAAGTCAAATTGTTGACCATCTGGGCTCTGATCGGGAGGTCCTGAGACCTTCCAGGCTTGTTCGGGTTGTCTGTGCATATAGAACTGAGGTCCTGCTTGCCTTACTAACACTCAGCTGGAGCTGTCTTTTAGCTTCCAGAGCCTCTGTGGTCCTTGCACATGGGCCTCTACATTTACATGCTCAATGAAGAGCTTATGCTTGGAATCCCTCTTGGCCTCTATGTCATCTTTTGAACTCCAGCCAAAGTTCTCTGCTTTTAAGGGTCTATGTGATTAGACTGTGCATACCTAGATAATCTTTCTGTTGAAATATATTCTAAAAATATTTTTAAAAATTTAAATTGACACATAATTGACATTCTTGAGGGGGTAGTGTGACATTTTGGTACATGCATATAATGTGTAGTGATCAGGATATTTGCATATATATTACCTCAGACATACATCATTTCTTTGTGTTGCAAACATTGAAAATACTATTTTGAAATATTTAACTATTATCAACCATAGTTGTCCTACTGTACTATTAGACGTTATTCCTCCTATTCAACTGCACCTGTGTATCGGTCAACCATCCTTTCCCCATCCTCCCCACCCTGGCACCTTTTCCAGACTCTGATAACCACTATCCTGTTCTTTACTCCTTTGAAATCTTTTTACTTCCACATAAAGTGACAATGTGCAGTTTGTCTTTCTGTGTCTGACTTATGGCCCATGAGTTTGAGGTTTAGCCCTGGCAGAAGCTTCTGCCCCATGCATATGGGATGTGCTCTGTTACATTACCCGGTGCACCTTGCTGGCCCTACAATGTTCATTAGCTAAGGGCAATTAAGCTTAACCGGGGAGCTTGTTAGCAGCCTAGCAAGCTGCTGACTTGACAGCAGGGGACGCCATCTCTGCACCAGGATGCTGCCTGAACATTCAAAGCATAAGCATGCCACCCCTATCTGCTGACCCACTGTGTGCCCCACCCACCTACTATGTACAACATATCACCTAATATAAAGGTAGTTGCCACTTAACTATGTACCTGCAATGACTTCATTGTACAGAGACTAAGGAAGTGTCTTTCACAGTCACACAGCTGTCAAGTGGCCCACATGGTTTTATTCCAGTCTGGATTTTCACACAGTGATGTTTTAAATTAAGTAACCTTGATTTAAAAGAAATGTTGCTTAAGTTTGTAATAATATAAAATTATTCTCCCATAATTTTCCTAATAAACCAAAGCCCTTTGAGAAAAACAGTTTATTAAAGCATCCTGACATTTTACTACAGAAATGGGCTGTAGGAACTTGAAGGGTCTGGGACTAAGTAGTCGAGGAAGTGGCAATTTCAAGATTTTTGCCAAGTTCCTTTATTGATGACTCAGCAGGTGCTGCTTCTATTAAAACATTACTAATGGATCCCTCCATTTCCACCCTAATTTGTTATACACCAGCCTTGGCCTCAGATATTCTGCTATTTCCCAACCAGTTGCCTCTAGGTTTCCCCAAAGAATGAGCAGTGATAGTTCAGCCTGTACTTGTTATTCTGTCAGCAGCTCCCCTTCATCAGTTTATGGCAAGAGGTAAAATCACTGGGTTTAAAAATGAGTAGTATGTGTCGTTCTAATGTTCTGAGGAGAGGAAACCATCCTGCAGGTGTGTCCTACTTCTTGCTTTTGATTTTTCCCCAGGAAGGTTGTAAAGCCCCACATCATGGGAACAAGATCCAGGTCTTGAAATAATGTCGGGGCAGACCTGAGCCTCCAGGAGGATTTCCTAAGTTGTGGGAATGAATCCTTAGGTGGAAGAGAAAGGTATCTCAAGTGTATACTCGGGGTTAAGGGTTTCACACAAGTGGCTATCAGCCCCAGATTATCTTACAAGGTAGCTACCATTTTCCCAAGCATTTTACTGAGGAATCAGATGAGCAAAGGACAATTTGTCTCAGGTCACATCCCCAGGAAGTGCTGAATCTAGGACTATGCCTCTTCAGAGCTCTGTTCTGCCCATCAATCACACTGCCCATGGCTACCAGAATACTGCCTTAGTGATGTGGACACCTAATGCTTCATTCAGCCTGGCCTTAGGTAGTACTGTGCTTTGTATTTGACTCCCTGTTGTGAGACAGAGGCAGGGGCCAGTTTCAGCAGCCCATGAGTCTGACTTGTTACTTGCCAGTCAGAAGGCATGAGCCAGGGCTTTTCCATCTGTGAACCAAAAGCTGGAGAACTGGCATCAAGTTCCTCACTCTCAGCACACAGGATTCTGTATTGTCCACACATTAGCCCACAGCTTGCACATTTATGAAAAGTTTAAGATTAATTGGTTCTCTGTTCCTGGAATGTGATTTTTGAAAATGCTTCTAGGCCAGCATTCCACAAATTAACAAATTTATAGAGCACACACTTGCAACTTGAAAAGTTGGGCTTAGAGGTGCATTCCTGTAATATCAGCACATAGGGAAGTTGAGGCAGGATTGAGAGTTTCAGGCCAGCCTGGACTGCCTTTAAAAAAGCTGAATGGTAAAGTGCTTGCTTTACTGTGTGTGTAGGACCCTTGGTTGAACCTCTAGCACCAAAACAAAGTACCCGTGTGCATGAACTTTTAAATTTTTTCTTTTTTTGAGACAAGGGTCTCATGGAGCCGAAAATAACCTTTTGAACTTCTGATATTCCTGTTTCCACATCTGGTGTGCTGAGATTACAGGCATGTACCACCATGCCTGGTTTATGCAGTGCTGGAGATCAAATCCAGGGCTTCATGCATGATAGGCAAGTACTCTACAAACTTAGCTATACCCCAACACCCATGTGCATGAATTTTAACTTCTTGTTAAAACTTCTTGTCATGTGCTTGGGCGTAACAGCACGATTGCAGAAGCATGTCATGGAGGTCGGCCACCTCATGGCTGACCAGGAATGCAGGCTGGAGAGCCTGGGTGTTCCTCTTCTAGCACAAAGGAGCAATGAATGGAGGTACCACTCTTGTGGGAGTCCAGCTCCACTCCCAGTTCCCACAGAACCTAGTCAGCTTAACCAGTCACCTTTTGTGGCTCTATGATCAAACTCTGCACCCAGGACAAGGTCACCATGGGGGCTAGAGCCTGCTGCTCCTGCTACCTGTCAGAAGAAATGGTTTAAAACACATTTTCCCAGCCCCATTGACACCCTTCAATGAGTGTGGAGGGGGAAAAAAGGAACAGTAAGCTACTGGGTGCATTGTTACGATGACAGATGCTATTTTTGTTTCAAATTAACACAAAAGCTCATTCCAAAAGTTTGGCTTTATTCAATTAATAGAACATGATCTCATGCTTAAGCCACCCCAGTAGGGCAAAGTCTCTGGAGGTAGTTTGTGGGCCATGAGGCAATTATGCCAACTTTTGGGGACACTTAAGAGGAACAATGAAGCAGATCTATGTCTTAGTGGAGCCACCCAGTGATAGCTTTAAACACCTTGCAGATCTAACTCCATTTCCTGTCACAGACAGGGAAACTGGGGCCTCAGCAGGGGAATTCATGTTTAAATTACTAGTGAGTTGGTGGCAATCAAGTCCCCGACTCTCGAGCTCTTGTCTTCCCGGTGGAGAAGGGCTAAGGGGTCTGCTCTGGACTGAATGAAGTGCAGGGCCTGTGGTCTGACTGTGAGGTGGGGTGGGGGAAGGGTGGTCCCCAGCTTTCAGCCATTCCCTTCTTACACTTAGGAAACTCTACTGAGAGGTGACTCAGTTTCCTTTTGCCTCTCAGTCTCCTAAGAGAAGTGTCCACAAGTAATATAAAAGGAATGGCATTTGGTAGTATGACCAGCCCAGAGAGGCTAAACAACTAAATACAAATCATCACAACAAATGATGAGTCAAATACAGGTTTCCCTAACTTGGTCCCACCTTCTACAAGTGGCTGTTTCTGGAGAGACCACTCAAGAGAAGTGGACTGCAGTGTTAAAAGGGGACAGCAAGCTGGGACTTAAATAACCTGTACATGGGTCAGTAATTCCATGACCCCCTCTTTGTTGAGAAAGGCCACCTCACCAGTGTTCTGACACCACACTTCGTAGTGTGCAGGGTCCTCCAGGGCCCTCTTGCCAGCAATGATTACAAAGGGGTAGCCAAGCTTGTTGGCGTCTTTCAGTCTGTTTCCGATAGTCAGGTGTGTCCTGTCGTCCAGGAGAACCTCTCCTCGGAGCTGAGGCACTGCTTCCACAATATCATCATACAGGTGCCCCATGAGCTCTATGGCTGCTGCCTCCTTACTGCCCTTCTTAGGTGGGATGAGGCAGACTTGATAAGGGGCCAGGAGGCTGGGCCAGCGGATGCAGTCTTCTGTAGAAAGAACTTCGATGGCAGCAGCCAAGATGCGTGTCACTCCCAAGCCATAGCACCCCATTTCAGCCAGTGATGGTTCACCATGGACATTGGTGAACTGTGCATTGAAAATGGAGGAGTACTTGGTACCCAGGTAGAACGTGTGCCCCACCTCAGTGCCCTTGGTTTCTGTCAGTGGGCCCTGGCATGTAGGGCAGTTTTTTTGTGACAAGTCTAGTGTCTCTGTGTTGGCTGAGAAGTGACAGCTGGGACAGATTGCAAGCCAGTCCTCTCCAACATCCACTGGTAGCTGGAACTCGTGGGACACTGTGCCCCCAATGCTGCCCACATTTGCCTGGGCCTTGATCCATCGCAGTCCCAGCCTGTCAAAGAGGCTACAGTAGGCACCGCACACTAGGCTATAGGTCTGTTGGGCAGTCTCGGGAGAGGAGTCAAAGGTGTACATGTCCTTCATGTAGAACTCGCGGCCACGGAGAAGACCAAAGCGGGGCCTGGGCTCATCCCGAAACTTCCTTGTCACCTGGTATAGCAGCAAAGGAAGCTGCTTGTAGGACAGTTTCTTCTGGGAGGCAACCAGGGCTGTGACTGCTTCCTCGTGAGTTGGTCCCAAGCAGTAGTCCTTGCCATGCCTGTCTTTCAGTCTCAGCAGCTCCCTGCCCATCAGGTCCCAGCGGCTGGTGGCTTGCCACAGCTCAGCTGGGCTGAGGCTGGGCATGTTGATTTTCTGTCCCCCAATGGCCTGCATCTCCTGGTCTATCACCCGAATAAGCTTTTCCATGGCACGAACAGTGTAGGGCATGAGGTGGTAACAGCCAGGACTTGCAGGGAGGATCAAGCCCACCTGTAGCATCAGCCGCTGACTCTTACAGGTCAGGTCACTAGATTTGCCCTCCAGAGAGAGGACCTGGTCTTCCCGAAGATTCTGCGGCTGGAACACACGGGATAATACCAAGCGCTGTCCTCTCTCTGGTGCACAATGGTGATGCCTGTGGGGAACGTACCTGGGGAGCTGGTGGCTGCAGGTGGCCAGGGTAGAGAGTGCTCTGCATCTTGTCAGCAGCCCTTCCATGACACCTTGGCACAGGGGAGCCTGGCACCTGGAGGACAATGAGTTGTGTGGTAATGATCATGAACTAGGCTCTCAGCACAGGCTCCAACAAATTCCTGAGACAGAAACTGGTGTTGGAGATGTGGATCCTCCCATTTCTAATAGCCCAGCCGATCAAAGCACTACTCTTTAAATCTATATTCTTCAAATGAGGGAAACATTAGCACCCTACTGTGGAGAGAGCACTAAGTGGTGCATGCACAGGCTCTGGATCAGGCGACCTGGGTTATAGGCCGACTTCCCACTGGCCACTCTTTATGTAGCCTGGGACATGTGTCTCCACTCCTCTGTGCTCAAGTTTTCATCTATGATATAGCATAAGCACCAGGATTTACTTTGTAGGTTTATTGTGGGAATTTTTTAAGGTAAGGGAAAATTCTTAGAACAGTTTCTGGCACATACTATGTGCTTGGTGGCCGTTTGCCACGTTACTATTTTAGGATACTGATGAAAACATCTGAACCACACCAACTGTAATCCCACAGCCAACAGCAGAGGACACCTGCAATCCCTTGTCTCTTTATTCCTGCCCTCCACTTTAACGTTGGTATTGCTAGGAATTGTGGCACATGCTTGCAATCCCAGCACTTGGGAGACAGAGGTAAGGGGACGGCCACAAGTTCCTGGCCAGCCAAGGATCCATAATGACACTCTGTCCCAAACAAAAGTCAGTATTGTGTTAACTGCCCTTCTCACAGCACACTCTCTGGTCAGACAGGGAGTGAAGATGCAAGTCTGACCAGGGAGTGTACTGTGAACTTCAGACCCATGTGACCTCTTGTCCCTTGGAGAACATAACACACAGCTATTTGGAACTTGGTGACCCAAAACCTCTTCTGACAATGGGTCCCCTGCCTTTCACTCTGCATCCTCCACCCAAACCAGAAGCCTGTGCTCATCTGCTCTGCTCTTCATCACTGCAACATTCTTCAGCCTTCTGACCCTCATACCTGCCTGTTCTCCACCTGCCCAGGCTGCACCCCAGTCCAAGTTGCCATCATCTTTCACCCAGGCCGTTGCAATAGCCTCTTACTGTTCTCCTGGCTTGCATTCCTTCCACTTTCAGTCTTCCAATACACAGGTGGCAGTAGAGGAAACAGCATCCTGCTGCCCTGAGAAGATGTCTAAACTTTGGACCCTCAAGGAGGGCACAGCATATCCCACCTATGAGCTGGCTACCTCTTTTCACTGCCCCCTCCCTGTTCCAGCTACACTGACTCTTCAACACACTGTCCCCCCTGAAAACCCTCTTCTGCCCATTTCACAGCAACATCTACCCTCAGGGCTGCGGATTGCCAGATAGGAAGTCACTAGTGTCAGGACAGCAGTGGGCGCAGGATCATCCCTGGAGGGCAAGGACTCCGCCCCTAAATCCCACCAAATTTCCATCACGGATAAGGCAACATAAAAGCAACCTGCCTCTAAACTGTCTCGGCCTTCACTACGGGGTGACCCTGGTTGGGGTGACTTCATCACTTCTATTCGTAAAACAGGAAGGTGGCTCAGGCACCGGGTTCCAAAGGGGGCCCTTCTAGGAACTCCGTGAGTCTCACGACCACGTGTGGTTGACCAGAACGGAAGTGCAGTCTTCATTTCAGAGGGGGAAACTGAGATCAGGGACGCCCACTATCCAACAACCTGCGGTTGTGACTCCTCCCCAACTCAAGGGCGGGGCGCACGTGGGAAAAAGGATAGCAGTCCTGGATGTGCATGCCCAGAAAGTGGTCATCCCTGCGGCCTCACACATCCCGCGACCACCCGCCTCACCATCAGCAGCAGTCGGTACCTGGCGCCACCCGCTCGTCCGCCACACGGAGCCAGTGCGCGTGCACCAACTCGACCCAAGACCCGCCTCCTACCCTTCTCGCCAATTGTACAGCCCGAGGAAGGGGCGGGGAGTTCTGACCTCTCCTGTTCTGAAGGCGCGTGAGATTTCCGGAAATTGAGCCACAGGGCCTCGCTCTACCGCCAAGATCCGGAAGTGCCTTCTAGGAATTGTGGAGGTGCGCCTCTATGGTCAAAGCCCAAGTCCAAAGATTTGAGGCTGATATTACTGTCCACTGCCAGGTCCCGCCCCACTCTGGAGTAGAAAAGGCGGACCACTGTGTAACCTTGACAACGTGCGTGGCGATGTTTCAAATCCACCCTATGATTATAAGCTAATGTAAACAATCGGAGAAAGGCACCTTTATTACAGTGTTTAGGAAGCTTTTTTTTTTTTTTTTTTTTAATGAAGCAGGTGGCGCACGCCTGTAGTCCCTTGGGAGGCAGAGGCAGGAGGAACTCTGTGAGTTCAAGGCCAGCCTGGTCTACATAGTGAGTTCAAGGACAGCTGGGGCTACAGGGAGACCCTGTCTCAAAAAGACAAAAAAAAAAAAAAAGTTTTTTTAAATATAGCACGAGGGTTAAGAGAAAGAAAGAAGACAGTAAAACTGGAGAGTACGGGTGTTGGCTTCCTCAACAGAGTCTCCTCAAAATAGTCTTGAAGATAGGAATGAAAACTTCCATTCACAGGGCCTAGCGATTCAGAGCCCTTGATGCTCTTGGATAGGACTGGAGTTCCGTTTCCAGCACCCACTCCCAGAGGCTCACAACCACCTGTAACTCCAGTCCAGGGGATCCAATGCCCTCTTCTTGCCTACAAGGGCACCTGCACAGACAGACACGCACACACAAATCAAAATAAGTCTTAAAAACACACACACACACACGCACAAAATTCTGGGTGGAAAGATGGCTCAGCACTGGCTGTTCTTACAGAGGACCCTGGTTCGCAGACACGCACACACAAATCAAAATAAGTCTTAAAAACACACACACACACACACACACACACACACACACACACGCACAAAATTCTGGGTGGAAAGATGGCTCAGCATTGGCTGTTCTTACAGAGGACCCTGGTTCAGTTCCTAGCACCCATCTGTAACTCCAGTTCCAGGGGATCAGATGGTCTTGTCTGACCCTGCGGGCATTGCACGACACGAGTGCACTTACACGTATGCAGGTAATAAACTCATACACATTTAAAAACAAACAAACAACCCCCCCCCAAAAAAAACCCCCAGCGGGTTCCGGTTGCTGTGGCCGAGGTTGGCGGTGAGACAGTGCGCAGTTGTTGCTCCAGCTCAGCGCCTGCCCCCCTTAGAGTCTTGGGCTTGAGGTGCTGCCTCTGTCTCCCCTTGGCCGGATGCTGCGACTTGAGGGCACTTCCATCCTTTGCCCCCAACTCCACAGTCGCCTGGGCACAAGCTGGAGGAGGGTAGCGGCCCCTCCCCTGTGCCAGGAGGAAGAAGGGCAAGGCAGGTCTGCAAATGAAGAACCCCCCAACACCCCCCCTCCTAAAAGAAGCAGCAAAGAAAGCCAAATACTCAATGATCCTGCATATTTGCTTCTAACGGAGTTTGAACCTGGACTCCCACGGTGGATCACCTGGTTGCTTCCAACCCTTTTGAGGATGACTTCGGAGCCCCTAAAGTTAGGGATGCAGACCCTCCATTCCTTGGCAGCCCTGTGTTCTTTGGAGGCTTCCATGTACTGGGGGGTGTGGCAGGTCAAGTACCCCCAGGCAGTGGCACTGGGGGTGGAGAAGGTTCCCAGCCACTTCATTGACAGTCCCCTCCTTTCCCTCCTAATCCCATGGACCCAGCTTTAACATGCCTCCTCAGGGCCCTGGCTATCACCCTCAGGCAACATGAGCTTTCCCAGCCCACACTTCAACCAGTCTCTGGGTCAAAACTTTAGCCCTCCTGGTGGGCAGAAGATGCCAGGCCCAGTGGGGGGATTTGGCCCCATGATCTTGCCCACCATGGGACAGCCTTCCAGAGGGGAGCTGGGCCCTTCCCTCACTCAGTGCTTTTGCCCAGCCAGGGGTGCCTTTTGGTCCTTCTCTTCAGAGACCTGGTCAGGGTCTCCCCTGCTTGCCTCCCAACACAAGTCCCTTCCCTGGTCCAGACCCTGGTTTTCCTGGCCCTGGTGTTGAGGATGGGGGTAAGCCCTTGAATCCACCTGCCCCCACTGCTTTTCCTCAAGAGCTCCACTCAGGCTCCCCAGCTGCTGCTGTTAATGGGAATCAACCAAGTTTCCTGCCCAGCAGCAGTGGGAGGAGTGGACAGTTTCCTTGTCCAGGGCTTCAAGACAGTAGGTAAGAGATGCTGAGAAGACCTCTTCCTCGTACCAAAGTCCTTGGTCCTTTCTTGGCTTCTCTTGTACTTTTCTAATGACCATGTATTTGCCAAAAGTTGGGATATACGGTCTGACTGACCAGAATATTTGAAGTTTGGGCTGTCTTGGAAGTCTGGACTGGAGGTATAACCTGCTCTCCCTGTCCATCTGTTGGATGTCATGATAGTGCTGAACTTCAACTTTTGGTGCCCTCACTCCCCGGTTTCACTGGCTTGACTGAAGGAAAGTCTAGGAAGGCACAGAGCCCTTATACTTCACTTCCTCCCTGATTAAAGAATCCATGTGAGGCCCCGTCACAGCTTTGTGGAAGCTATGGGGCAATGGGACCATGAAAGCCATGGTACTCAAGGGTAGAAGAACCTGGAATTTTCTGCTTTGCTCTTTCCTGGCTATTCTGTGGCATCATCTTCTTGGGCCTGGTGATTTAGCAACTCTTTTTCCTCCAGCTAAAGTCCTCCACAGGACTTGATTCATTTTTATTTTTGAAGCACTCCCTGCTGTGATGGGACTGGGCCGTGATCAGGAGCTCTCCGCAGCTGCTCTTACCTCTTTTCTGACAGTCTCTGTTCATTCCTCTAAGGGGTGGGGAAGGTGGGCACTGGGTGTGGTAACAGGTTGATCCCTGTGGTCCCGTGCCCCTATTTCTCTTGTTCCCTGCCCATGGAGAGGACACTGGCAAAGTAGAGCCAGCAATCTTTGAGGCAGAGGAAGATGATGAACCTCTTGGCTTCTCTGTGCTTCCCAACACCAAAATAGCTTAGGTGGTGTGGGACTCGTCTAACCGCTTCTTTCTGCTTCTGTAATTTGCTTGGCTTAAAGATTTAACCCCTGCCATAACTCTAGAGAGGAATGAAGAATCAAAATGCAAGAGTCAGAATACACTGACTCCATTTTGGCTAGCTGTTTCAAGCAAGTCCAGGCATGTAAAAGCCTTATAAGGTAAAAACAGAAACTTCTGGCCCCACAGATAACAGTCAGCACATTCCAAGTCCTCAAAGACAGCCCCTACCAATAAGAATCCTCCCTGTACTCAGGGCATAGGACCATCCAGTCATTTTGAAGGATGCTTGGCGCGTGTGGGCTTCTGTGAAACTTCCCTATAAAAGTCTACCCCACCCTAGATCGGGGCTCTCAGTACGGATCCACTGCGTTGGTGAACTTTGAGGGCCTGAGCTTAAACCCAAATAAAGGCTCTTCGCTTTTGCATACTCTACAGGCTCCTTGGTGGTCACTTGGGGTCACAGGATCGGGGTGCAACAGTGTTTGCCCCTGTTACCTTTTGCTACTTTTGTATTGTCTTCCCCTCTATGGTTTGTGAACCCCCCCCATGGGAGGGTCTGTCCTAGAGTCCCCCTCCAATACTTTTTGGAAGAAACTAGGTTGGCAAAGATGTAGTTCCAGGATCTTTTGTATGGTTGGACTGATAAAATGATTTGAAAATTTTAAAAACCCCACAAAATTCCATTCACAATATAGACACATTTTGCATATGTATGTGTATACATGTTTGTGTGTTCACATGTGTATGCACATGTGCATGTGTGGGGGTGCCTGTGTTTATGTGTGTGCCTGTGTGTGGAGGCCCAGAGCTGTCATAAGATGTCTCCCACCATCCACCTCCACCTTATATATTGAGGCCCTGGGGATCTGAGCTCTCATCTTCACCCTTGCATGGCAAGCGTTTTACTGAGTGAGCCATCTCCCCAGTCCTCACAAAGTAGTTTTTGCATAGCTGTCTTGTACGTTATACCACTGTTGCTGATGCAGGGAAGAACAGAATGAAGAAAACAACTTCCCTGCACTCATTCTGGAAGAGGCAGCCAATAACCCAATACAGTGAAATTTTAGTGGGGCAGGAAAATAACTAAGTAACTTGGTCAGTAACCAAGACAAATAGGATTTAAGTACAATTAATATTTTAAAACCAAAATTACCACAAAAATCCATAGGGGGAAGATAAGAATGTTAGTTGGAGAGCATTAAATTAAATTAAAAGATAAGTATGTTAGTTGGAGGGCAGAAGACAAGTTCACTAAGAGAAAATGGAGGGAGTGGGATGGTTCCAATTTAAAATAGGATGCTCAGCTGGGCGTGGTGGCGCATGCCTATAGTCCCAGCACTTGGGAGGAAGAGGCAGGTGAATGTCTGTGAGTTTGAGGCCAGCATGGTTTACATAGTGAGCTCCAAGCCAGCTGGGGCTACAGGGAAACCATATTTCAAAAAGACCAAAAAGGAAAAAAAAAAAGGATACTTATGGGAAGCCTTATTGACAAGGTAGCATTTTAGCAGAGACCTGAAGGGGTGAGAAAAAGCCTCGTAGATATCTGGGGGAAGAATGTTGTAGGCACAGGGAACAGAGTGCAGAGTGTCTGGAGCAGCTGCTGCATTTCATGTAAATCTACTTCATAATAACTATGATGTATAGACTGCCTCAAATGTACCAGACCCAATGCAAGACACTGGTGACTCTGATATTGGCCCAAACAGCTCTCAGCTCCCCAGGACTTTTGTGAACAATACCTGTGATCAGTAATGCCGTGGGAGCTCAGGAAAGCCCTGTGGGAACT